CTGACTGACTGTAATAGCTAATACTGCCCTGTGGCGACTGGGTAATTGAAGTGTGTTGAATTGGCTGTATTTGACTGCGTTGCGTTGATTTGACTGACCCTGGCAAAGTGGCTGTTTTTGAGCCTATTTTTGGTGGGCCGACTTGTGTGTTGGGCCAAGATGTGGTAAGTTACGTTACACCTGCCTGCTGTCCGTGCTTCTTCCAAGGCTGTTTTTTTGCTAGGCGCGTGCATTCACACTCCATTTCCACTGCACACGACAAGACAACAGCCGGCTGTGCGAAGCTACATCCACTCGGTCTACCAACTGTAGCCTCTTTCCGCGGCGAACCCAGTGCCACTGACATCTAGCACGACGACAACATCAACGGGCCGCGACAATGGCTACGCGGGCCGCTCCTGCGGCGGGTCTCCCTGCCAAAGTAGCATCAGTGCCGCCTAACCAAACCCTCTACGTCACAAATCTACCCTCAGCTAAGATTCAGAAGGAAGATTTGCGAACGGCGCTCTACATGCTGTTCTCAACGTATGGCTCGGTGCTGGATGTTGTCGCCCTCAAGACCATGAAGATGAGAGGACAGGCCCACATCGTGTACAAGGATATCCAAACGGCGACAATGGCAATGCGATCATTAGATGGTTTCGAATTCTTTGGCAATCCATTGGTAAGGCACCCAGTTTGGCTAGAGATACTCGCGAATACTTTGCTAATCCGAGACAGAAAATCTCATATGCGAAATCCAAGTCAAACATCATTGCTAAGCTCGACGGCAGCTTCAAGCCGCCCGCCGCCTCTACCGCAGCCCGGGTCGAGATTACCGATCTCCAGCAGAGCATCTTCAACGCTCCTGTACCAGGGGCAACCACAGCTGCGGCACCATCGGCAGCGCCCGGTCTTCCGTCCAAACCATCAGGCATCGATCACGCAATGGCTGATGCTGGAACCCCCGAGAGCCGTGGAACGAAGCGGCCCAGAGAGGAGGAGGACCAGGCGGAAGAAAGTGACTCGGACGTCGCAATGGAGGAGGAGAGTGACGAGGAATGATGGCCATTCCGGTCCGAGTTGTTGTCCAACAGGCGGCTTGAAGCTACAGGTGGCTGGTCTCGGACTCGAGCGCCATCTCAGCAGGCACCCACAAACCAACGCAGCCTCCGACGAGTCCGAGCCATACCATCAAGTAGGTCTCTTTGGAGCAGTCAAACTTCGACATTGCTTCACCAAGGAGACATGGATGGATGAAAAAGGAAGGAACACCTGTGACCGGATGATGCTGCAGAATGGTTTGTGTTAGTCTAGACCTCGTTACGCATGGCAGAGTCACCCAGTTAACCAATTGACAGCGAATTTACAAGACAAGAGCACGTACGTCGGCCGAAATGCCGCCGATTGCACCGCCGCTGCGGAGTCCGTCCTTGTACTGATCCGGCACAAGGCGTCGGAACACCGTATCGATGTGGAAAGTTTGCTCATCAGCTGGGAGACCGTGCAAGCTGAACCACAGGCATGGCGCTTGGTATGTCGGATGCAGATGTATTTCGTATTTGACGTAGCCGGCTGTGACGGCTGGTCTTGGTTTCCGTGGCAGTGCGGCCTTGGGATTATGTGAGACTGCTAGAACGGGCCCATCTTCAGGAGGCAGTTGGGTCCTCACCTCGTCGTCAATCTCTTCCGCCTCCGTCATGTCGCTATCCGCTTCCGTGTCTATCCTTGCCGGGCCTGTGTGGTCGTCAAAGGAGAAACTGTCCAAAAACATGGACAGGTCGCCATCGTCTAGCTCGCCGTCCAGGGGGCGGACGATCTGGACATAGGTGTTGTACTCGGGACCTAGGCTAAAGGACGTATTGAGCGCCGAGCACACCCTGAGCTTCCACCGTTTCCTGACTGGGCCGAGAGTTGCTTGACAGTATCGCCTCTCAAGATGATGACAGACTTCAGCAAATTCCTCACCAGTGAGAAACGGGTAACTTCGAAATTCTGAAGAAAGAGGGCCGTGCCGGGCTTTCATCATGCCCAGGTATGTAGATGAGTGAAACTGTGAAGTTTGGTGGCGAACGGATGTTGCGTCTTCTACCTCAACAACCCCACTGGATTGTACAAATTTGGTCAACTTGATATTGAGGAGATAATCAGAAGATGAAACCCAGACGAAAAGGGTACGCTAATAAACCGAATGCCCAAGAAGTGACAGCTAAAAGTGTACCTTACCATGGGAATTCGTACCCAAGACATTCAACCCTCAGTTCCATGACCCATTTGAAGCCCAAGCAGTGTATTAGGTAAGCAGCCTTATGCCGTTGCTTGGTAGAGATCTTATGTACCTACGGAGTACCTTACTCTCAACTCTCAGGGTCTAACCAACCCCGAGAGAAGTTAAATGGATCATCAGAAGGCCACCACCATTCCTGCCATAGTGAAACGAGACGGTGTCCGAGTTCCAGTGTACTTCGTAACGTTAACAATCACCTTTTGTGGTTGCCAAGACGGGAATTCAGCTCTGGGTGTGGTGTAATACACGTACTAACTGGTAATTTTACCGGATGTATGCAACTGTCCTGTAATTATTTACAATACTGTGCATAACTGACCAGTTGTTCAACTTCAATTTTGAATCGTGGCATATTTGCCAGAACCAAACGGTGGTTGCGAACGAAGAAGGGCCAAGAGTATTGGCGGACTGGTTGCGGAGTTCTCTGAATAGTTTGAGCTTTCGACCTGTATCTTGTCTCTGACAAGAGTTAGGCGTTATCTCTCAATGCTCTAACAGTCAGTGTTGGACGCTACTGCCATGCCTCGACTGCCAACAGGTGCGATTCTCCGATGAACGTTCGAGACCCCTTCAACGTTCGCAATCCGAATCGGAGCCCCATTGCCGCTTGGAAGGGCAACCCAAACTACAACCGCACCTCAACCGACGGTTTCACGGCGCTCCACCACGTCATACGAACCGCCGCGACCGCAACCCGAACCGCAGCCGCCGACCTCCGAGACAAGGCAGGCGAGGCAGTCCTCTCTGCACAGCAGGCAATCAGCGAGGCCGCCATCTCCCTCGAAAGAGGCGAGCAGGCAGCAGACGAGGAATCACAGAAGCAGAGGCAGCTCAAAGCCAAGAGGAAGAAGAGGAAATACAGCGGCAGCAACGAAGACGAGAAACCCGCCAGACCCACCCCTGACAACCAAACGCAGAACAGCCAGGACATGTCTTTCACCGTCCCGAAAAATGTCCCCTCCTTCTCCAATCCGCAACGACAGTTTGAAGACCGCCTCTGGGCAGCAGCAACCTCATCCTCCTCCTCGTCACGACAGCGGTCTGCTGCGGGGTCGGGCGTGCTAGGCGGCGTGCAGGACCTCCTCTCCCCGCGCAGCAGCCGTGCCGCCCTGCCCATGTACAAGGACAAGCCGTACGCCTCCCCGCCCGGGCGCGGGAGCCGGTGGGTGCGGTTCCGGCGGAAACGGACGTGCGCACTGCTGCTACTCGTCGTGGCCGGGCTGGTGTGGTGGACGGGTCTGTTCGCCGAACACCAGGAGAGGGCCGTGACCAAGCTTAACCAATGGGGGTGGTTGAGCCAGGAAGGGACTGATGGGCGGGGAAAGAGTAAGGCGGATTGGTTGAAGAGGAGGGAGAGGGTTGTGGAGGCTATGGAGCTGAGCTGGGATGCATATGAGAGACATGCTTGGGGTGAGTTTCTCTAACTGTGTTGGTTGAGGGGTTGAGGCGTTGTGCTAACTTCGGAGCTGGATAGGTTATGACGAGTTTCACCCCATCTCCAAAACAGGGAAGCAGATGGCGCCCAAAGGGCTCGGGTGGATTATTATAGATTCGCTCGACACGTTGATGCTGATGAACCTAACCAGCCGCCTAACGCACGCACGCGAATGGCTGTCAAAGTCCCTAACATGGGACCAGGACCAGGATGTGAATACGTTTGAGACGACGATCCGTATGCTTGGAGGCTTGCTGTCGGCTCACTACCTCTCAACTACCTTCCCTGACCTCGCACCAATACCGGATGATGACCCGGGTAGTCCTGGGGAGGACCTATACTTGGAAAAGGCAAAAGATCTCGCAGATCGGCTTATGGCAGCGTTTGACTCCCCATCCGGCGTCCCATACGCTAGCGTCAACCTGGCGAAATACAAAGGCATAGTATCCCATGCTGATCTGGGCGCATCCTCCACAGCGGAAACTACGACGCTGCAGCTCGAGTTCAAGTATCTCGCCAAACTAACGGGCGAGAAGGATTTCTGGGACAAGGCTGAGCGGGTGATGCAGCTGGTGGATGACAATGGCGCCCAAGATGGCTTGGTACCCATCTTTATCTTCGCTACGACTGGCAAGTTTCACGGCCAGACTATTCGGCTGGGGAGCCGCGGCGACTCGTACTATGAGTACCTCATCAAGCAATACCTTCAGACGAACAAAAAGGAGTCGATATACCAGGATATGTGGCAGGAGGCGCTCCGCGGCGTGAGGAAGCACCTCGTCACTTACACGGAGCCGTCTCAATTCACCATTATCGGTGAGAGACCAAGCGGCCTGAGCGGAGACCTGTCACCCAAGATGGATCACCTCGTTTGCTTCATGCCGGGCACCATCGCTCTGGCGGCAACGGGTGGTCTGCCGGAGCGGGAGGCCAAGAAGCTGCCGACGTGGACGAAGGAGGATGAGGCCGACATGCAGCTGGCGCGCGAGCTGATGCACACGTGTTGGGGCATGTACAAATGGATGGCCACGGGTCTCGCTGGCGAGATCACCTACTTCAACATTGGCAACCCGCCGCTGCCCGAATCGGCCGAGCACCAGACGCCGGCCGAATTCGACCCGTCCCCCGACGCCGAGTGGCGCAAGGACTTTGATGTCAAACCGTTTGACAGCCACAACTTGCAGCGGCCCGAGACGGTCGAGAGCCTCTTTTACATGTGGCGAATCACGGGCGACATCAAGTACCGCGAATGGGGTTGGGAGATGTTCAAAAGCTTTATGAATTACACAGCGGTCGAAGAGGGCGGTGGTTTCACAAGCTTGTCTAACGCAAACAAGATCCCGCCAATCGCAAAGGATAACATGGAGAGCTTCTGGCTGGCAGAGACGCTGAAGTATTTCTATCTGTTGTTCTCGCCCGACGATCTGCTGCCGCTCGACAGGGTAGTGTTCAATACCGAGGCGCATCCACTGCCAATGTTTGATATGGGCTCGCTGTTCTCGACCGGGTGGAAGAGGAAGCCGCGGGATGAGAACGGCAAGATCGTGGTATGATGTATATAAGTCGGATGGAGTGGCGGTGCCTCCTTTTGGTTAACGATGGAAAAGTATGTAAATGTATACAGTACATAGTGTAGAGCCCCTACGATGCAATGTTTATACGCCTTCACTTACTTTATTTACCTTCCGATTCCTGGTGTTTCCATAGAATCCATACACTACTGGGGATCCCCTGGTGACTGATAGGAGTGGACCGGGGCGAAGATAAGGTGAGACCGACAACGTTCAAGGTGAGACAATGTCTGACCTTCCCGCGGCATACGCAACGTAGCTAGCCCAGAAGAACTGAGAATCAGGTGAGTTGACACTGACTCGCGTAGCACCAGTATGTTTGGTCAACCCTCCAACCATCACTTCCACATTGGTGATTTTTCTACTTTGTCAGTTCGATGCAAGTCCTCGTCCCGAATACCCGATTTTCTGGGATGCTTGGTTGGGAAACTGGGGTGGAGTTGTCATCCAAGCCTTCAATTGGCTCTTGCCTCAACAGTTGACCGGGACCCCGATCCTCCCGCCCTCTCCCCAGTTCCCAACCACGCGGTCCCCCAATGGCCAATGCAACGACCCAAGGGAGCGGTTGGTGCTGGTACCTTGCCAATAGGATCGAAGCATGGCGTCGATAAGCAAGCGACATGATCTCCAACCAAGGCAGCGAATTGGGCTTGGCCTTGTGCGATGTAATTTTCTCATCTGCTTGCCTTGCTCACGTCGCGAAATGTGTAACATCATCGACGTTGGGCTTCACTTCTCGTCGAACAAGCACGGCAACCCCGGATGATGAGTCGAGACACTGGGCACACGCCGTGACAACTTTGACAAGCATGAGCTGGTTGAGCAACCAACGCTAACGTTAGCTCGATGCTCTCATCAAATGATCAATACCATCCAATTTGAGCTAAGCAGCACGACGGCTGCCGTTCCTTGTCCCTGTGTCCAAACGTGTCCTGGAGCAAAATCACTCAACATCATCACGGCGAGCTGCGAAGTACAAACTCGGCCTCGGCCTCTGCCCGGGGGACGATGATGCCTCCGTCCCGCGACGTCGAGATGGCCACATTCGGGCTCAAGGAGGATTCCTGGCCGCGAGGCAGCATGATGAGCATGCGCGGCGCCTCGGCCTATTCCTACTACGATGACGAGACCCCGCGCTCCCGGCCGATACGCCGCTGGCTGGACTCCTTCCGTCGAGACCCAGGCCGCCATATCACTCCTGCCTTCGCCATCCAGACCCCTGAGGATCTCAATATAGCATCCGCCCCCCGTTTGTCTGACGATCTGCCGCACGCCGAGGGCGTGTCAGCCCGGGATTCCCAATCCCAGGACGGGCACTACTTCGACTTACACGCCGCCAATGTCGGCACGGCAAACACCCTGCTGTCTCGTGAGCTGAAGGGGAGGCATCTCCAGATGATTGCAATTGGTGGCTCCATCGGTAGGCGTTACTTCCGCGACTATGGTGGCCGGGCTTGTTGTTGCACCATGTTGCACCATGTTGGACTGTGATGGGGTCTCTCTCTTTCCCTCCTCGCGTATTCTAGCCGGTTAGACCACTTAGTTATGATCAAGAAACGCTGACATGGATCGCTACATTTACAAAGGTACCGGCTTATTCGTAGCGTCCGGAAAGGCTCTACACACCGGGGGCCCAGCTGCCCTCCTCGTCGCATATGTGTTTGTCGGGGTGATGCTGTACTGTACAATCCAAGCCCTGGGTGAACTCGCCGTGACCTTCCCGGTTGCGGGCTCCTTCTCGGCCTACTCGACAAGGTTTCTCGATCCGGCATGGGGGTTTGCCATGGGCTGGAAGTGAGTTTCCGATTCCACATTTTTCACCCAGGGCGTACTAACAATCTCAGTTATGCCCTGCAATGGCTTATCGTCCTGCCGCTCGAAATAATCGCAGCTTCCATTACCGTCGGCTACTGGAACAGCAACTTAAGCCGTTCCATCTTTGTCACCATCTTCCTATCCACCATCGTCATCATCAACCTCTTTGGCGTTAAGGCCTATGGCGAGGCCGAGTTCCTGTTCGCCATCATCAAGATCACCGCCGTGATTGGCTTCATGTAAGACACCCCTCCCTCCTCTTACATAAGCCTTCCAACCAATTGCTCACCATTCGTGCTCCATTAGCCTCCTCGGCATAGTAATAAACATAGGCGGGTTTCCCGACGAGGGCTACATTGGCGGGAAGTACTGGACCGACCCTGGCGCCTTCAACAACGGCTTCAAGGGCATCTGCACCGTCTTCGTAACCGCCGCCTTCGCCTTCACAGGCACCGAACTCGTTGGCCTGGCCGCTGCCGAAGCCGTTAACCCGCGTAGATCACTCCCGACGGCCATCAAGCAGGTGTTTTGGCGCATCACCCTCTTCTACATCGTCTCGCTCACCCTCGTGGGGCTGCTAGTGCCCTACAACCACCCGGACCTCCTCGGCGCAAAGTCGGTCGCCGACGCCTCGGCCTCCCCGTTCGTCATCGCCATCGAAAGCGCGGGGATCGGGATCCTCCCGGCCGTCATGAACAGCGTCATCCTGGTGGCCGTGATTTCGGTCGGCAACAGCGCCGTGTTCGGCAGCTCCCGCACGCTGGCTGCGCTGGCCGACCAGAAACAGGCACCCGCGCTGCTAGGCTACGTCGACCGCCGCGGGCGCCCGCTCGTCGCCATCCTGGTCGCCTCGTTGGTGGGGTTACTCGGCTACCTGGCCGACCTGGAGCGCCAGCCCGACGTGCTCAACTGGCTGCTGGCCGTTTCGGGCTTGTCGTCCATCTTCACCTGGGGCTCCATCTGCCTGGCGCACGTGCGCTTCCGCAGGGCCTGGGCGGCCAAGGGCCGGAGCGTCGAGGAACTGGCCTTCCGCTCGCAGGTCGGCGTCGCCGGCTCGTGGGTTGGGCTTGCGCTCAACGTGCTGGTGCTGGTCGCACAATTTTGGATCGCTGCGTGGCCGATCCCGCCGACGCCGCTTCCCAGTACTACTTCTTCTTCTTCTTCAGATTCTTCGTTTTCTTCCACCGAGGCGGCTCCGCTAAATGGGGACAGCTTCAGTGGGGCTACTACCCGGGGCGGGATCGAGTCGACCGGCGATGCGGTGCAGACCTTCTTTCTGCAGTTCCTCTGCGCGCCGATCGTTGCCGCCTTCTACGTCGGGTACAAGCTGTGGTTCCGAACTAGGATTGTCAGGATCGCCGACATCGATGTCGATACCGGCCGCAGGGGGTTCAACTTGCCTGTTTTGATCGCGCACGAGGTGGAAGAGATGAAGGCGTGGCCTACATGGAAGAGGGTATATAGATTTCTATGTTGAGCGTCATTTCCGTCTGGGATTCCCCTGCCGTTTGCCGTCCTGTTTGGGCATTCGGAAAGGAAGGCGTTAAGGGCGTTTATTAGGAGGGCGCTGTTGTATAGTAATAGATGCCCATTGGAAACGGCTTTCAAAGGCATGGTTGCTGGGTTGTTAACAAGATGTACCGGGGTTAGAGGGATCTATATACCCATTAAGAGCTCAATATAACATAAATGCTCGGTTTATGATCAAAGTGGTATATCACTGTTCCCAACTCTCTCAAGCGTGTAACTCAGGGGGGCATCTTATCACGAAGCGGCGGGATTTGAAAATGAAACTCGGGAGAGGCCGTGGCTTGACTTCTTCGTGTATGTATGTACAGGCTCATGAGCAAGAAACGTAATGACACATCTCAACTCCGAGCTGTAGCCACCCAATCACTGACAGACGATAAAGCGAAGTAAGGGTTAAGAAACCTGGTACATAATTCTTCACGACGGGCCTCAAACCTCAACCAACATAGCTCTGGTGGTACAGCCCGATAATTAAACAAGGAGGCTTATCGCCTGTCCAACGGTAAGAAGAACACCACTCCTCGCTAGCATACAACAGCGGAGGAATGACCCAAATGAAAACCGCCGCGACAGGGTCTAGTGTAACAGGATATGATATCCTTCTCATGAATCATGAGCAGTGCGTAAAAACGTCAATCATCGAGAGACATAATCGCTATGATGTCCTTTGTCCTTTCTCTTTGTTCACCATGTCCCCCAGCCGGACTCACAAAACACTTGCCATTCAGGGAAACTAAAAGTCCCAGAAGTTGTCCGACTTGGCTGGAGGCCCACGTCCACCCTTTTTCTGGGGGTTTACCTGGTCCTCGCCCTCGCCGGTAAACCACGCGCGCGAGGAGCCCTTCTTGCCTCCCATACCGTCACCGGCGATAACAATGCCGCGGTCCTCGCCGGCCGGCCGTGCAGGGTTGGGATTGCTGTTCTCCTTTTGCGACACGGGCGACGACCTGTCGTAGCCCGCCCAGCTGCTCTCCATCATCTTGACCACCTTTTTGCGATCCTCGGGCACCTTTGCCGGCTCCTGGTTGTTGTTGGCATTGGCGTGATGGGGCGATTCGTCGGTCAGATTGAAGTGCGCCTCAAAGTCCTTGGCCCGACCCCCGAGGTTGGTGATGTTGCCCAGCGGAGGCGGGCCGGGGCTGGGAACGCTGCCCTCCTCGACGTGCAGCCTGTTTTCGTACAGGTGCAGACCCTCGTTGTGCAAGGTACCGCGGGGAGGCCGGCCCGCGTTGCGAGACTCGTCGCTTGCCGGGCCGTCGTCGCGCAGTTCAAAATGAGCCTCGGCGTCGCGACGCGGCTTGGGCACGGGCGCATTGGGAGCGGGCGTGTTCTCAAGTACGTCGTTCTCGGTGCCCCAGTGGCGTACGTCGCGGGCGCGGTGCATGCCCCGGCTTGCAATGGGCTTTTGCGGCGTCTCAAAGTCGGCAAAGGACCACTGGCTGTCGCGCTTGCTCTTCTTCGCGGCAGCGTCAGCATCGGCCTTGGGTGCGGGAGGTGGGGGCGCCTCGGAACCGTCGTCAAAGTCGAAATGCTGGTACTTCTTGGGGTTGGGACGCACGAAGCGCTCAGGCGACCGGTTTCTGTCGGGTGTGTCGGGACCCGTGTTGTCCTCCTCGGCCTCGAAGATGCGCATCGGCTGGAAGTGCTTTCCCGCGCCGACCTTCGGGGCGATGGCCTTGCTAGGAGACATCGACCGCTCACGACCGTTGCTTGGGGAGCCAGGCTCCTCGACGGGCTCGTCACCCAGGATCTCGGTGAAGGAGCGCTGGCGGGGTCTTCTCCCCGCGTAGGGCGAAACGACACTGGCGGCGATATTCTCTTGCTCCTCGCGCGGCGCAAAGAGGTCAAGCGATGCATGGGGGTCGCGGAGGATGTTGGTAGAGCCGCCACGGGAGCGGGCTGGGGCGCTTTCTGCGGGCTTAGTCTCGACACCGTTGCCCTTGACACATTTTGCAATGAGGCTGATTTGCTCCTTGCTGTCGCGGATGGGCCAATTCTGGCCGGATCTGCCAATGACTTCGATCTGTTTGAGAAGCGAACCTTGGTCCCAGCTCTGGCGTATCTGCGTGATCTTTGTCTCGCTGTCAAAAGTCACAATGTGGGTCTGCACACATGGGTCTAGTTAGCTAAGGTGCTCCAATCCAGCGAGGCTATTGTCTTAGCGGCATCTTACAATTGCGAGATGGACGGTGCGATCAGCAAGGAAGTTGTCGTCCAAGCCTGGGAGATATGGCCCTCCGCTACTGACAAACTCCAGCGTGGTCTCGGCTTCCAGGACAAGCACATTCTGGGCCTCAAGTGCAAAGAGCGCGTCCTCCTTTTTCTTGTTAATCTTGTTGCGCAGGGTGGCGAGGTGCTTGATGATGTCGGTCGCGCTGGTGATGCTAGTCGTGGTCGTAATGTAGTGCAGCGACGCGTTTGCGGCGAGTGCCGATGAGTTCGGCGCAGCTAGAAACTGCTTGTATGCAGCCTGCAACGCCATGTCTGCGGCAGGCAAAATCGATGGCACGGTGGTCTCAGGATCTTGAATATCAGAACCAGCGTTTCGAAAATGGAGCTCGAGAAATGTTGTTGGGGAAGGAATTGAGCGAAGAAGGACGCGACAAAAATAAGGGAGCGGAGTGCGCAGTCGACTTGGAAACTCTTGCACCAGGGGCAATGGGAAGGACCGGGATACGGGATGAAATGGACAGCTGCATTGTGTAGGGGCCGCATCCCCTGGCTTGGCAGGCACCGATGTTTTTCTCGGTCTGTTTACCTGCAGCCTCGGCTGTTTACTGCTACCTTATTAGTACATATGCCTAGGATATCCGTAAGTCTTGTGATATTTGGATGCACTTCAGCGGTCTACACCTGCATTGCACCTGCTAGAAACTTTTTCATCCAAAGTTCAAGTCAAACAAATGCACAGAATTTCGTTGGCAGCCATCAGAACAGCGGGACTCTTGATTGATGAATCGAGGATGAGAGCCCCGCAAACCGTTTGGTTTCAGGATGAGCAACGAACCCCACCATAGTCAAGCCACAGGGTCCAGACTGTCTCCACCTGTCATCCTGTTCAGGCTAGAAGCTCTTGGCTCGCTAGTTGATCACAAATGGCGGCTGTGGCTGGGCCTCGACGGACTCGACATCGACATTGACGATTCAGATAGTTTTTTATGCTCAGTTATGTATACATGAACGTTACGCAGCGAACCTGACTCTTACAACAAGTTGGTTACAATATGATATATACACTCTAAAGCGCTCGGAGCTGAATGCTAAATCCGTTAGAACTCATGCACATCGAGGTTTCTTGCGTATCTTTCCATTGCGCATCATGAGAACCGGGCTCGCACGTCGTGCCCCGGGCGTGCCATGGATGGGAAGGCGGTGGAGGCTAGACAGGAGCCTCGACCAGACTGCCGGGACGCCATGTTGCAAGCACAGGCAGTGACAATGCAATGGCGAAGGTGCAGCTTACAGTTACAAACCTGCACGGCCGCCTCTCACCGTAATACATTCCACTCCGCCTCCGTTTCAGGTCAGCACCACCTGAGAGTCCATTGAAACCACTTTCATAGGAGCAACACCACAGCCTTACTGGATGCCTCACCGTCCTAGAGGCATCCATCATCGGTAGTGGTCTGTTCAATCATTTGATGCTTTCATGCATTGGCTGGCCATTTGTCGCATTGGGGGAACCTTGCTCCTCCTCCCCAGCGTCGCCTGAAGCCTCCTTGACTTACATCAGCCTGGCTCAGGTCATCATGTCTATTACACACTTCAAAGCCTACCTGATGTGTGGGCTTCACATGGAGCTCCGAGTCCCCAAGGTATAGATAGATAGAAATCCACTACCATAGGCACCATGTCTCCTGAAGACTCGGCTTGCTATTGTATTGTACAGCAAACTATCTTTGACAAGCTTATAGTCAGGGCAGGCCGGTACCATTCGCCCGCTTGTCCCTTCTAAGTGTCGAACTGTCTTCTCGCCGGATACACGACAAGCCCGCCTCTGCCGTGAACCACCAAACATGATACTCGAATACTCCATGACCGCCAAACCCAGGCTTCACACCCGCAAAATCCATGACACCTACAACGGCATCAGCCACATCCCCTTGGCAACGCATGTTTGTGCCCGTGCCAGATCCGGTGGCAGCGACCAGCCCCTTGGCCCTCGTCCAGACCAGGTCTTCTCCATAACCCTCTTCTACGCAGCCAACAGGGCCTGTGAGATCTACCGCTCCGTTGACGACTTTGTGACTCTCGGCCGTGCCCTGACGACGTCGTTCTACTCCCCCGCGCAGTTATCACCGTTCCCGGCGATGCTACTACTACCCTCCTCCCCGAGTTGCACGGAAAAGGAGGACGATACCCGTACTGCTGCTACTACCAGTCCCGCTATATGCTTATGTACTAGTACTGCGCCCTGCAGCGCTCTTCCTTACTCCCCTGCCTCGACAGACCGGAGGGAAGCCACCGCTGCCCGGCTGAGCTTGGAACTGAACCGCTTCCTTGAGGATGTACTCGGGAGAATGAGGGGTGAGAGCAGGCATGGACTGGACTCGTCGGCGATGGCGGCACTGGAGCGGTTTCTGAGGCGGAGGGCGGGTGATTGTGGAGGGAGGTGATAGGCTTATGACCTTGAGAGAGGGAGGAAGGGCGAGGAACGCAAGCTTCGCTGTAGCATTGATTAGATGACGATATCAATACCGACCTTAATCAAAGCCATCCCTTACATCCCACCGTCTTCCATCCGTAAAATACAGTAGATTGGTATAAAACTGTTTCTCTAGCCCTCCCACCATGACGCCCAGCCATAAACAAGTACAGATACCCCAAACAAAGCCGAAAGCCAGACACTCCCAACCCATCATTCAGCCGTACACAGCCCCTCCGGCAGTTGGACAACACCGATTCATGTTCTCGCAACCACCCACGCCGCATCCTCCAGTTGCTTCAACACCGAAATGATATTCTCACTGAGCGACGGCAAGCCCCCCCAAACGCCCACAAAATTCGCGCTGAGAATACCCTGCGCAACTTCCATGCACGCGCGGGGGTCCTCCAAAACACACTCCGCCACCCGCGGCGGCGCACCACCACTAGCACTACAGCTCGCCAAGTTTTGAATAGCCGGCACCCCCTGGCCAAAATTCAACCATGCCTCCGAGGCAGGCGACTCCTCCCCGTCCAAAAACACCGTCGCTCCCCGGTATTCCACCGGGGCACCAGCACCAGCGCCCGCACCCGGCACCACCCTCGAGGCGCGCATGACAATGCCATATGTCCAGAGACACAGCGCCGCGTGGTGCACGGCCACTGCGTAAAAGTCCTTCAGGTGTCCCGGGGCACACATCCTGCCCCAGCGCAGGACCTGGCCGGCGTGCCACAGCGCCCGGCGGGCTTCCGCAGTCGTCACCCAGCGCTGCAGGGCTGGGTACACGCGCTTTGCCTGGTCCTCGCCTTCCTTGCCCGAAAAGAGCTGCAGGTCGCTGAGCGAGACGTGCAGGTTCATCCAGAGCAGGTGGAGCACCATGCTCTCCTGGGCCGACAGGGACGGTATCCGGGGATGGTGGTGCTGGGTGTGCTGCCAGTTCCGCATGACATGCTCAAAGGCCTGGAGCTGCTTGCAGAGCTCTTGGTGGCGAGAGTCGAGGAGCTGATGCATAGTGTTGCTCGCAAAGGACGGCATGTGGACGATGGGGCGGTGGACTGAGTTTAGTTGCCGGTATTCCCAGATAAGAGACCAGAAGGCGTGCAGGAAAATCGAGACGCAGAACCGGAGGTCGAGTCGCTGATAAACTGCTGATAGCAAGTTGACGTCTTGCAAGAGATCGCAGAGGGAGGGAAGACGCTGATCGTCTCCCATGCCGGCTGCGAGATAACGGGTTTTGAACTCCTCGGCGTTTCTCGCGAACCATAGGTCTCTTGAGCATGGCAGTGGTAATGTAAGTTCTGCATAAGACGTGAAAGGGTTGGTGAACTGCGTCATTGAGGCTTGGGCATCTCTCAGGTAGGAGTGAAAAACAAGCCTAGATTGCCGGGTCAGGGGAAGGCCGAAATAGCGCGGGTGAAGAGCTGCTCACCTTTTCCAGGACTCAAGTTCCTGCCACTTCTTCCACTTGTCCTCTAACACCTGGCCTACGTCTGAGGGGAAGATTACAATGTCGGGGTAGAACGCTTTTCCAAACTTGCCCCGGTGGCGCATCATCTATGGAAGTCAACATGGCGTTTCACGCGTAGATCCGCTTGCAAACTTACAGCTATGGGTACAGACAGGTCTGCCGCTGGGTCAGCCAAAGGCACAAAGGAGATGGTTCAATGAGAAACTCACGGCACTCGGCAATCTCCGTTTTTCGCCGGTTGCCGCTCCAAAGCCCGACATCTTGGATTAGCACCAAAGCCTGTACATCTCCCAGCTCGGCTATTTTGCTGTTGTTCTCATCGAACTGCCTGTCGATCAGCGGATGTGGGCTTTGAGCTGGGGAGGGAAGCACGCACTTTGTTCGGGATTGTAACCCCTGTTATAAGTGCTGTTAGTTCGGTCTAAGTTGGACGGGCAAGGATACATGTAGGACACTTACGGATCATTTCCTGCAGAGCAAGACCAAACCGACGCAGCAAAGGAGTCGGGGTCAGGACAGCACCGGCGGCAGCGGCAATGGCCTGCCACTCGGTTGACTGGCTATTTAACGAGAACGAACCGTAGTGAATCCAAGACGACACCTGCAATGAATGGGCTGCGAGAAAGATCTGAATCCACGAATCCATCGCGTCGGCTGACGGAAAGGAGCACGCAAGCCGGTCCGCCGTATTCTTGTCACGGCAGGTACTCAGAACAACCGCCATGATCTTGTCTCGGCATGGAGTGCTGAGTGTCTCCTTAGAGACTCGGCCTGCCATCATCCGGTAGCAATTCATCTGAGCGTCGCTCGCATCGGACGGCAGGGTAAGATGGGCGTGTTCGGCATAAAAGCCGTCTGTTTTGTGGGGATCCCACCTCCAGGGGGACTCGGTCCAGACCTTGGTCAAGGCCGAGCGCATCGCCTTCAAGCCGCTGTTATCCTCTGAGCTAGCCGTTTGTTCTGCAATGCTCCGGGCCGCATCGAAGTTCCAAGAGTCCAGAAGGCCAAAGTCGAATTTGCTGAAATCCAAGTTTGCGTCGTCGCAAAAATCCAACACTGCGAATCCATCCGGCTCACCTAACCGGGCCGTAGTGCCCAATGGCTGATCGTAGAGCACGTCGCGCAAGAAATCAGCAAAGGGAGCTCTGGCATTGTCGTGAGCCACGGGTCCCACATGGCTTCCGGCATAGGGTCGGAAGTGATCTACGCCGCTCTGATCTAGAGATGCCGCCGGGGTGAGCAATTGGCCTTCGACCTTAATCGAAGGGCTACCGGCGCTCATAGGATCTTCTTTCATCTCTACAGATCTGATGGATTGAGCGAAGAGATTTGGATTTGAAGGCGCTGCCACGGTGTCTGTGCTTTGTGCATATCCCATGCTTGAAGTGAGACTGTGGACGGAATCAGGAGAGGTTTCCTGCTCAGACCCTGAACGCTCCGCAGACAAATGCAGTAGGCGCATGGCCGGATCTTCTGAGGCAACCTGGCAGGTCAGGCCGCGATTCCTGCAGCGAGTGCATCTACGAAGAGTTAGTAAGGCGGCAGCAATCAACAATACGTGAGGCGCGACTTGCGGCTTGGACTCTTCGCACTTCACCCTGGCTCTTGCGCAGGCTTGACAAGCATGTGCCACCCTGCTCGCCGAAGGGGAGGCATTGATACGCCTGCGCTTCGTGCCACTACTGTTCAGGTGGTTTGCACGATGGCGCTTCAAGAGATCGGCCCGGGAGAAGGCTTTGGAGCAGATCTGGCGGTCTGTCAGCAACCAGCTCACGACAAACGACAGGGAGAAACTCGCATCACAAACGAAGCGCTTTCCAAGCGTGTGAGTGGCAATATGTCTCTGATCAGGTCAGCTACGTGTGCGAGAGGAAGCGAATTGACCACAGGCGAGCTTACCTGGAGATGCTCGGGTCGAGAGTACCGGCCTGAAATTGCAGCTAACGTCAGCAGTCCGGCAACCAGCCAGAAGGGGGAATCGGCTGATGGAGTTATACGCAGACACTCGGCACATTGGTACAGCGACGGCGTCTTGGAATGGGATCCGGCGGGTTGTTGAGCAGCCGGGCCGGTGGAGAGGGCGGATGTGGCTGCGGCTGCGTCTGCAGATGGGACAGCGGATGGGGTGACAATGCCCCGGGAGCGGGACCCATCTGCCGACTGAATAGGAGTGCCGAGAGTCGCAGATGCATCAAAGCCCGGCAGCGGCTTCTGGGGTGGCGCATGTGGCGGCGACGGGTCGGGAGGATCTGGAGGGTGGATGAGGTGCCCGATGGGGCTCGCCATGTTGGTTTCCGGGCCGAAACCGACAAAAGCAGCACCTCCAACTCAGGACAACTGCAAGCTGTCGTCGGACTGCAAGGCTCTGCAATCTAACCAATGCAGCGTTCGTTGATTGCCGCTCTAGAGCATCTTGCTCATCATCTGTTTCCCCAGCTCACTGAACTGCGGGTAGCACATCCCTAGGACGGCGGGCGGCGCCGAATCATGAATGCTGGGAGCCGTCGTCTGGAAGGGTCCGGGGTTCCTCAGGCCAAATCGATTGCGAGTTTTAACGTTGTGTGGTGTGGACGGGAAGCTCGCATGCAGCTTGCAGAGCGCCCACGGAGGGAGATCCGAGGTTTATTATTTGTTGGAGTTGTTGGAGTACGCGCGGCCATGGGATTGTTCGGGCTTAGTTGTTCGCCCCGCGGCCCCAGAGGTGCGAGTCTTTCCATGTTTCACAAGATACCGATTATTCTTGGCACTTTCATGATCTCATCAATGGATCCAATTCAGTCAGAACCGCGCTCACCTTAGGTCCTAACAGCTCAGTGAACATTACGAAGATATTCTGGCGGGATGGGTTACTCGCCGAACGGGAAAGACACTTTTGGGCAAGGACTACCGTAGAGCACTTGACATACCTTGAAGCCTTCTTTCCTAAACTTTCACAGGCTGCTGCGCCTCAAGGGGATCCTTCCTCGACAGGGAACAGCTTCTCGGGAAGGACCGAGCCACTTAGGTAGGTAGGTACTGTGTAGCAAACTAGTAGGCTCTCAACATTCACCTTAATCATCAGCTTGCTCCTCCTCAGTCCTCCGAAAACTCGCATGAAACCCCTCTATGCACCGGTGTATAAGCAGGTAATGCCAGATCCCGTGGATAATTGTTCCCCTATGCGACCAGGTGGTATTCTCAAGGTGAGCAGAAAGATATCTTTGATCCTCACAGTCCTTTACACGACACAATACAGAGGAATGGTCAGAGGTGCCGACCTGACATATGGAAGTTGAGTATGTAACCTGATCATAGGAAACCTAACGGTATAATTGATTACAGGCATGCAAATTGTGCTCGGCATCGCCCATCATCCACGAACACGCCCGCGCGTTGAGCTGTGCCGCCAAAATGAGCCAAGTTCCCCGAGGTCCCCTGTCCGAGGCGTCAAGCCACGCTTACATGCAGGCTCACAACAAAAAGTCCAGGACATGTTCGCAGCTTCAGAGCCTTGCGGGCTTATGCATTGACGCGATTCCCATCGACTTTGCTCTACAAAATACGATTTGAAGTTAGCGCCTGACAATTGCCTACACACCGGTCCCAGGCAGCCCCAGCCCTTCCCAGGCCCAGGGCCCCGAGATACCAGGTACTCGGCCTCGCCGAACCATCATAAGGACCGTATAGTGCTTCGGCCACGCCTCTGCTGGCAACTTGTGTCTCTGTTTTGTTTATCTTCTTCCCTCCTTTCTCCCTCAGCACGTCCGAAATGGCCAGAGACGGTATTGTACCCCCTTTAGGTGCAGACCATCAGCTCGACGGCGACGTGACGGCCCTAAAGAGAACTCTTGGCAACATACGGCTCCGTCATCATGAGACAGGCAAAATAATCTTGATCCCAACGCCCTCATCTGATCCAAACGATCCATTGAACTGGTGCGTCCATTCGCTGTTGAAGTCCAAGTAAATAAGGCAGCTGAGCTGAGAAAATGGCAGGCCGCAATGGTACAAATACTACATTGCAACGGGTGAGCGTTGACGTGCTCAAACATTCAAGCAGAGTCAACTATTGACACACTGGAAAACAGTGGTCTGCATTGCCATGATGATGTGCAATTTCCTTTCTGCCGGCCCGAGCATTGCCATAGTCAACATGACTATGGAGTTCTTCCCGGGTGCCGACCCTCAGGCAGACCCCCAGCTCTTCAGCACGTCTGTAGCCAAGGTGGCCTACTTCTTCTCGACACTCGCCCTTCTGCAGGGCGTTGGGAACTTCTTCTGGATTCCCATTGCAAACAAGTACGGACGACGGTCGACATACGTCTTCAGCTACGTGATCTACTTTGTAAGTTAACTTCTGTGACCCTAGCCGACAGACAGGTGAAGGAAAAACTAACGGCTGGGAGGCTACGGCTCTTTGGCTCAATTTTGAGCACTCGTACGGAGCGTTTCTCGCCGGCCGCATCATCATGGGCTTTGGAGCGGGTGCTGCTGAGACAGTTGGTACGCCGCCCTTCCAGCCCTTTCAAAACCTGAGCTCACTTATCCTTGTATAGCGCCTATTACCATCGCTGATATATTCTTCCTCCATGAGCGAGGCACCGTGATGGCATTTTATACGTCTTTCCTGGCAATCGGCGCCTCATTGGGCATAATAATCTCTGGGTGAGCGTCTTCATACCAACATGTGCCTGGCCGTTGTCACAGGAAAAGGGGCTGACCCGCCCATACGCAGCCTGATTACTCTCAATCACCACTGGCGTGTCATCTTCCAGGTTTCCGCCGCCTTGATTGGCCTCGTCCTCCTACTCATCTTTTTCACTCTCCCAGAGACGGCCTACATTCGGGTGCCACCACAAGCAAGCGACGATGAATCCTCGCCATCGTCAACCGAGAAAGTCGGTGCTTCTGTCACCGTCACCGAGCGCCCCTTCCACCCCCTTTCGGCACGAACGACCTACCTTGAATCACTGAAGCTATTTCCGGACAAGGCTCTCACAACCGAAAGCCTTCTCAAACTCGTCATCCGCCCCGTCGGCTTGATCTGCCTTCCCCCGGTGCTGTGGGCGGCTCTCGTCGAGGCCGGCACAATCGGCTTCCTTGTCGCCGTGGGCTCCAACGTGGATGTCGCCTTTGCCACCACCTATCAGTTCAAGTCCTGGCAGACGGCGCTGTGCTTCGTCGCGGCCGTCGTCGGCTCGGTGGCGGGCATCCCCGCCGGCGGTCAGCTCGGGGACAAGGTGGCCGATTGGCTCACCCGACGCAACGGCGGCGTTCGTGATCCAGAGATGCGCTTGCCGGCGATGATACCGAGCCTGATTGCCGCACCTCTGTCGCTTATTTTGTTCGGTGTGGGGATTGAACATAAACTGCATTGGATCTGTCCAACCATTGGGATCGGGCTACGTACGTCTTCCTTCAAGCTCCTACCTCCTTATAGGTACTTCTCTTTACTCTTTACTACGGGCAGCCGCTAACACGCCGTGATCGTCACCCAGTAATGTTTGCCATTGTTCAAGGCACAAACGTTGCGCTTGTCTACGTCATCGACGCATACCGGCCCGTCGCGGGCGAGGTTACGCTCGCCGTTATGGGCTTCAAATCGCTCTTTGGCTTCCTCTTTTCCTTTTACACCAACACATGGGTCACCGAGTCGGGCTACCAAACCGCTTATGGCATCATGGCAGCCATCTCAGCCAGCGTGCTCTTGTTATGGATCCCCCTTTATTTTTGGGGTAAGAAGATCCGTCGCGATACTTGGCAGTGGCCCGTAGTCTCATATATTCACTGGAGCGACGATCGTGAGGTCGGCGAGTAAAGGCATGAGGGTCTTTCTCTTATTATCAATATAGAAAAATTTCTTTGCTAGAATCATAATGTAGTTCGCGGGACCAACATAATATCCAAAATGATACAGTGGCCGTTCTGGCAATTTCTAATTCAGCATTCCCGGGCACGGGCAATGCTTTCCAAAAAACAACTCCTTGTCTCTCTGCTACGAGCGAGGAATGCAGACACCCGCTAGTTTCCCAATCTCCCTTTAGTTAGGTTGAGAAGTCCCCTGAAAGTCAACCGGCGTGCTTGGTTGGCCGGCCTCGGCTTCGTCGAGCTGGATGTTCTTCTGCAGCTTCTTTTGCTGTTCAGCCAGCTTCGTAGCCGTGTCCTTGCCCTGGGCGGCCTCAATCTGCAGCGCCAGCACCGACAGCTGCAACTTGAGCACCTTATTCTTGATCTTGCCCCGTTGCAGAGCCGCGCCCGCCTCCGTCTCGTCGCCGCCGGCAGCCTCGATGGCCTCGTTGAACCCGCCCTCCTGCGTCTCTGCCGCCTCGGCCGTCTCGCGCGCCGCCTTGAGAATGGCAAGGTCCTCCTCGTCGACCGAGGCAAGGTCTGATTGATCGATCTGGGTTCACTGTGTAAGAAAATACGACGAGACAAAAGGGGTTTTTCTTTCGGGCTTGCATACGGGGAACTTGGCGTTGACTTCGGCGAGGGCGTTGCCAGCTACGCCATCAGAGACCTGGAATTCCGAGTAATCCTGGACTGTGAGAACGCCTCTCTTGACTTTGGGGCTGTTGGTACGAGAGGGGAGGGCGAGCGAAGAGCCGAGGAGAGAGAAGAGGAACGCTGCCTTGAGATACATCTTGGCTAGGTTTTCGTTTTCCGTTGGAAGGATGCTGAGAGATGATTGAGATGCTGGAAAGATGAGAAGATGCAAGGGAAGTATGAAGCGAAAACAGCACAGCTGTAAGTCAAGAAGTGAAGACAGTTAACTGAGAGAAAAGAAAGACGAAAAATTCAACGCAGGCTGGTGGACTGAGGAATACAAATAATATTCCCCGTGAGTGAGCACTCGGATCTTATGTAGTTTACCAGTCACGAAGCATTGTTACCATGATGCCGTCACCCGACGGCTCCATTCGGCCATGTCGCCGCATTCACAGGACAGTCACCCCATGAGCCTCCTACATCAGTGGGCTCGCCAGGCAAAGGCGTCTCATCTGTCGCCCTGACAGGCTACGTCTGCTCGGCTAGGGGAGTTGGGATACTTCAATAGCAGGCCGAAACTGACAGGGGGTTGAGAGCCTCTTCCGGTCTAAATCCGTCGCCAGGCTCAAGCTTCTCAAGCATCCATGGATCTGTGTCTTGCATAGGAGGATCAAGAGATGAACTTGCCCCGGTTTTAGGGGCTAGGTTGCTGTGGTGCAACCTGGACCAGCTGGAGTCCTGGATAACCAGGAGGCAAGCGCCGTTTGGGAGGCGTCGCACTAGGTAGAGTTCTTGATCTGATGTGCTTCAGGGCCCTGCCATTTTCGGTGTTGTATTCACCGAGGCGCGACTGCGCGCAAGGTCACGTAGCGGTGACATTCCGATATAGTACTTGGTCGTCTTTGCCAAAGGATGTATGTGTATAAGAAGAAACGATCCGAGCTGGTACTGGTGGATTTTTCTGAAGTTGCCGCCGCGTTTGACAGTTTTGACGGTTCAAACTGAAGCTTGGGAACTTGAGCTTGACCTCTTAGGGGTCTGACCGCCTTTTCGTAAGCCGTCTGCAGACCGTTGACCGACGGCTGCGACGTTCCAGCCGCTGAGAGTTCACAACTAAAAAGTTTGCGGTTGTAAAAGTCCAAACGTTTGATTCTAGTAAGCGGCTTATCTCAGGCCAGAGGTCTGAATCGCCAGAGGTCTGGCAAGTCAAACGTTTGGTGGAAATTGAACCATCAGGCTAACGGCTTGAGTACGGCTTGAGTAGGGTAAGCGGCTTGAGAGAGTAAGCGGCTGGAATAGGGGCTGGCCCGTGCCCTAGGGTACGTACATACAGTACCACTCCAGGCTCCTACTCTCTGCACCCAGATCACTGTACATCAGGTACTTAAGGAACAAGATCAATTCAAGTATCTAACTCCTACCTTAGTTACCTATCTACCCTCCAAGTTAAGTTGCAAGTCAAGGCCGCAAGTCAAGTGGGTGGGTGGCAGTCGACCTCGTGGCTGACTTGGGGAGTCTGGACTCTAGGGGGTCGACTTGCTAGGGCAGTTCGCTGGAATCGCTGAATTGGCTAGAAAACGCGATTCCAGGGCACTTTGCGAAATCGCTTCTATTTTCAACTGCCGGTCAACACCGCTTTGGTCGCACGCCGCAGACAGCACAGCGCAAAGAACATACTTCCAGTTAGGAGCAGGAGACCTTGGGAGCCAGGAGACCATAGGAGCCAGACCAGTCAGGGCGTAAGAGAGCTCCAGGATGGAAAACTGAGGAAGATGGAGGAGGAACGTGAACCTGAGATTCGCTAAGTTAAAGAGAGGCAAGCCCCGGCACGGCTGCCTGGCGACGGTCGCTGCCTAGAGGTTAGCTATATACAAGGAAGGAAGCAAGGACTCGACCCCTTACAGACTTACAAGTCCCCATTCCCAACCGTTGCCCAGCCGCTTACCTCTCCAGCCGCTAGTATCTCAAGCCGGTCCCATTTCCAAGCCGTTGCCCAGCCGCTTACAGATTATAAGCCATCGCTAGACCGTTACTTGTGTATGAGGCTTGGTAAACTTCAAGCGTTTGACATTTTCAACCGCTTCTAGCGCAAGCCGCTCCCAGGATCAAGCGTTTGGCATGGTAAGCGGCTGTTGCGAATTGAGCGGTCTGGCAACTGCTTATATAATTCAACGGCAAGTTTACGGCTTGGCAAAAGGGGGTTGTGCCGCTAAGCTTCAAGTTGACTTGAAACGGACTGTATAAATTACGAGTTATTTGTACTGTGCTCCCTTGCTCCCTTCACCTGACCAGCCCAATAAGGCAAGTACCTCTTCACCTTAGGTTATCCCCACAACAACCGAGCAACGGGGCCGATGCTAGACGCCTTCCGTCATAGTCGGTTGTTGGGGAAGGCTGTAGGCAAGCGTGTGATAGCCGATGCCAGCCAGGAACCTCTCCAACCATCCGGACAAGCCGCCAGAGCAATGGTGACCTAGGAATTTTGCGCCGGGCCTGGATAATTGGTTTGTGAGATCAAGGGGAGCTCATCCATCTCTTCCGAGTTCATCTTGTCTTAAACATTCACGATGCCACACCGTTCTACCTTTCCCCCGCTCAGAATTCCCGATGGGATTGACCTCTGGTCTTTCCTTCTCGGGCATCGGCACAGAGACTTTCCAGTGACCAAGGAGATCTTGACCTGCGGCGAGACGGGCCGCTCGTATAGTTGGGCTGACGTGCGCAGCGCTTCCATTGAGTTCGGCAAGGGGTTGAAGGCCCGCTGGGGCTGGAAGAAGGGCCATGTGCTGGCCTTCTATACTCCCAACTCTGTTGATGTGTGTCTTTGATACTTGAGCTTACCCTATCACCCCCTCGAATGAGAAGAGCAAGCCAAAGTAACACCGCCTTCCGCAGACGCCCATCCTCACCCTAGGTGCCCTCTGGGCAGGCGGCGTTGTCTCGCCTGCTAATCCGCTCTACACCGTGGACGAGCTTGCCTTCCAGCTCAGGCATTCCCGCGCCAAGGGCCTCGTCACCCAGGTTGCTTACCTCGAGACTGCCATAGCAGCAGCGAAAAAGGCAGGCCTTCCGCTAGACCGCGTCATCCTCTTGGGTGCTCAACGGGACCCATCGGGCCGGCAGCGTCACTTCTCCAGCATCCGCAGCATCAGCTACACGGGCCGCTACGCCAAGGCCAAGATCAATCCCAAGACAGATCATGCCTTCCTCGTCTACAGCTCTGGAACCACCGGGCTGCCCAAGGGCGTCAGCCTTTCGCACTACAACATGGTGGCCAATGTGCTCCAGGCCGCCTACGTCGAGGGCAGCCAGTGGCGGTCCCAGGGTGGTGTCGACGGCAAGGGTGATAAGCAGCTCGGCATACTGCCCTTCTTCCACATATTCGGCCTGACATGCTGTGTGCTCATGTCTCTCTACTCGGGCTGGCAGCTCGTCGTGTTGGAGCGGTTCGACATGGACAAGGCTCTGCAGGCCATTGAGAAGTATGGGATTACTTTTGCCTACGTGCCACCGCCTATTATCCTGGCGTTTGGGAAGCACCCTGCTGTGGACAGCTATGATCTGAGTTCGCTCAAGGTTCTTCACTCAGGCGCGGCGCCCCTGACGAGGGAGCTCACCGATGCGGTGTGGAATCGGCTGAAAGTCCCGGTGAAGCAGGGCTATGGCCTGTCCGAGACGAGCGCCGTGGTGTGTTGCCAAGTGGTGGATGAATGGGCGAAATTCATGGGTTCGGTCGGGAAGCTGATGCCGAATATGGAGACCAAGCTTGTCGGGGAGGACGGCAAGGAGGTTGCAAAGGGCGAGGTACTCCTGATCTTTCCACTGCTGCATTATCTTTTGCTGACAGGTGGCCACATAGCCAGGCGAGCTGTGGCTCAAAGGGCCTAACGTCTTCTCAGGGTATTTTGAGAATCCTGAGGCTACCAAAGCGGCATTCTCGCCCGACGGCTTCTTCAAGACCGGTGACGTCTTTCGCCGCGACCAACACGGCAACTATTACTGCGTGGATCGCCTTAAGGAGCTGATCAAGTACAGTAAGTCAAAGCGGTCTCACCCACTCTCTTTTCTCGGGCAGATATCGCTTACAGCGCTGTCACCTAGACGGCTATCCTGTCCCACCAGCCGAGCTAGAGGGCATCCTGGTAGGCCACAAAGACGTTGCAGATGCGTGTGTTATCGGCGTCGACGATCCTGCCCACGCAACCGAGGTGCCGCGAGCCTACGTAGTCCTTCGTGAGGGCGTCGAAGCCAGCGACGTCAAGGCGCAAGCTCTTTTGGACTGGGTAGCTGCGCGAGTGGCGCCACACAAGAAGCTCCGTGGAGGTGTACGCTTCGTTAGAGAGATTCCCAAATCGCCCAGTGGCAAGATCCTCAGAAGAGTGATGAGAGAGCAGGCCAAGAAGGAGCAACGGGCCCTGGGAGCCAAGCTGTGACAGCTGTCTCTTCAGATCGCCTTGTAGGCCCGACTCGAGAGCCGAAATAATGATACATCTTAGTTCTAGTCCGAATCCTGGTCGACCGAAATATATGAACCCCGTCTAGCGTCGTATTATACCGTGCCCCCTCTATCCAGTATCATACACCCGATCTCTGTCATGTTACCCCATCCTCTCAGCCTCCTCCATCAACTTTTCCACACTGAACCTGCCATCCCCCCTCCCGAACCACTCCAGCAACCGCCTCCTCTCCTCAGCCCTCTCCCTTGCCATTTGATCCAGATCCCCGGCGCCAGCCCCGTCCCACCCGCCGTAGAAGCGCTGCAGGCACATGACGAGCCACCGCGCGTCGTCCACCTTAACCCCACGGTCCTCGGCCACAGTGCCCTGCATGAGCACAACCCCCTTTGACTCGACCAAATCCGTGTAGTGCGTGACGGTGGTGTGGGGCGCCGCAAACTCGCCGCGGGCCTTGTACTCGGCCAGCTGCGTGAAGAGCACGGTGCTGCTGCGCGTGGCCGGGTCCCAGGTCCACTGCAGGAAATGCATCTCGGCGCCCTGCCCTTGGTGCGGGACGGGGAGCACAAACTGCGCGCTCCCCTCGCGCGCCGCCCGCTCCATGGCCGAGTACGTCGCCGAGGGGATCACGGCGCACAGCGAGTTGGCCCGCGCGGCGTGGCGCACCCGCCAGAGCGCCGTCAGCTCCTCGACTGAGAGTTTGAGGGCTTTGGGCAGGTCTAGGATGGATGAGAGCGGTTTGACGCCTGTGCCGGTGCCTGTGCTTGGGTCGGTTGGTAATGGCGGTGGTGTCGGCTTGGTTTGGTTTGTCGCCGCGGGCGAGGAGGAGGAGGAGGTGGTGGTGGAGGCTTGTTTGCTGTTGCTGCTTGGGGATGATGTATGGGAGGAGGAAGGAGGAGAAGGCGGAGGAGGGACGCCGACGGCAGCTTCTTGTTTGCGCAATGACTGGATCTTGTCGGCGTACGCGGCCCTCAGCGAGTCAATGTCTGCGTGTCCCTCTTCGCGGGCCTTGCGGTCGAGCTTTTCGCGGTACTTTTCGAGAATGTTGCGCGGCTGTTGCGTCGTCGCGAGGAAGCGCACGTCGTGCACCTGCGCCCAGCGCCGCTGGTTCGAGGCGCGCAGCGCCCGTGTTTGGCATGTCAGGAGATGCCGCAGCACCGGCTCCCGTATGGAAGCCATCGTGTATCACCAGGGGATGGGGGTGGGGTGATGTGTGGTGGACAAATGGGATGTTGCGGAATGCCAAAGCGAGGATTCGCGCGAAGAATTGGATCGCGAAAATTGATGAATTGAAGTCAGTCAGGGGTTGCATTGAGGATCTTATCACTGGCTGCTGCTTCTCATCGAGCCCTTCCCCTTTTCTCTAGAACGGTTACAAAAACTGGGACACTTTATCAGTGTTCTTAGCTTCTTTACCAATCACTTCCTCCTTTGATTTTCTACTCTCAGGTGAAGAATCTGCATGGTCCTTCTCAAACAGGGACGGCAGCTAGCGTACAACACGTCCCCAGGCCTTGAGGAAAATGCGGGGAACCCTTGCACGTCCCTCCCATCTCCCGGCCACGCCAGGCCAATGATCGTACCGAACCATCATCTTAGCGTTGAACGATCCTCAACGGCCATGCGCCTGGGCCCAGGCTCGCTGGAGTAACACCGTAACATAGGGACACTGCTCCCGTCACATATGTATCCCTCCCCCGCTTTCGCAAGATCTAAAAGCAACGTCACCTAGGGACACCTCACAAGAACGGTTTCCCATAGACTTGCTCGTCCGAAGCAAGCTCATCTATCCATCTACACTATTCTACAAGACGATCTCTCTAAATATGACAGTGGAAACGCTCACTATGCCATGTAATACAGCGGAAAGATCGCCTCTCCGCATTAGCCTGCTCTATCGCAGGAAGATCCAGTCCCCCCAAATAACTCAAGCGGATGGACGAAGCCGTTCGCGGTCGAGTCGATTAACAACAGTTTCCTCCCAAATTAAGACGCCGTTCAAAGTCCAACTGTCTATCTTGCGTGACCGGTGGACCTCAACGAGTTCCTCCCTTCCCAAGAGCAAACTCCATATTTACTGGAGCGTCTTGAACACCCACCGCTCAGTGCCCTCGGGGAACGGAACGCCAAGCTCGAACAGCTTGACAATGACAGCCGAGAAGTCCTTGAAGAAAAGATCGTTATCGGCAGCGTACTTCTGAACCCACTCCTTGAACTTCTTGTCTTGGACGAGCGCCATGTCGGCCGGAAGCATCATGAGCGACTTGGTCTTCTTATCCTCATACTGTTTTTGGCGCGTCAGCATCCATTCTCACATTCATAGTGGCGACGCTGCCCTCGCTTCGAGTGAAAGGCGACTCACCTGCTTCGGGCCATTCCACTTCTTCCACTGCCACTTTTCCTCCAGCAACAGCTTGTAGTAGTCGTTGGTCAGGACGGTGGGGGAGAAGGTCCAGGGGCCAGAGAAGCCGGACCGGTCCGGGTGGCATCGGCCGAGCGCGTGGGCGCCGGCAAGAGCGACAATCTCTTGGTCGTTGAAGCCCATCCGGTAGAAGATGTCGCGAAGGTGGTCGTGGCCCCGAGAGCCATCGGGAAGGCGGCCATCAGGAGTGCAGCCGGCGACGTCCTTGTCCTGGCGGCCGGGTCGGTAGGGGATCTGAGGACCCAGCATCTCCTGGATGGCGCATACACCGCCGAGGATCCAGAGATCCGAGTAGGTAATCCAAGGGAACTTGGCTGTTTGATTCACTCAGGTCAGTCTCGGCTCTTGCTCAAATTCGCCATCAAGTCATGGGTGGCGGGCGCAGTGACAGAACTCACCCTTCACAGGTTCCAGGAAATCACGGGCAGCCTTCAGACCAGCATTGGCGCCGTGGTCGCTTTCGGGGGCGAAGCGCATGGTGGCACCGTTGCTGCCACCGGTGCCCGTTTCCTTGTCATACGTGCCGCTAGCGTGCCACGCCAAGCGCAACAAGACGGGTCCGTAACTGCCGTCATCCCACGAATCGTTCTCCTCCAACCGGCTAGCGATTTCGTTGTACACGGCCTGGTAGTCCTCGAACTTGGGGGTGAAGACCTTGGGCGTCGCCGAGCTTGAACCGTTCTGGTAGAACCAATAGGCGCCGCCTGCGACGAGGGCACCGCCCGCGGCGGCCCAGATCCCGACGGAGGAGGAAGTCTTCGAGGGCGCCTCGGAAGAGTAGAAGCGGCGACCGCCCTGGCGGAAGGCGACGCGTGGGGCAGCGCTGAAGGCCGGCCGAGCTGAGGTGCGCAGAGCGCGAGTGAATGTGCGGGTTGCGGAGGCCATCTGCTGGGTTGCGAGAGCGCCGGTCAGAATAATCCGAGCTCACTTTTGAAGAGGGGACGATAAGGCGCGGGAATTTCAGGTCGCCAACAGACGAAAAACACGTCGCAACGAGGAGGGTTGGTTAATGCCTCACCTTAGAGGGGTATCAAGGAGAGGAATGTGAGGACGAAAACAAGGAAAGAGAGGCAAGCCAACTGACGACCAGAAGAGGCGTTGCAAGAGGGAGAGCTTGTGTCACTAAAAAGAGAAGACAGAACGCGGTTTTGGCTTATTACCAATGGAGAGGGTGGAATCAAATCGAAAAAGAGTGTTTTAACTCACGCCTGACTGGTTGAAACTTGCCTCGGACGGGGAGAAATTTAAAATGTGGGTCAATTGGGCAGGGGAAGGGTCCCGAGGGGTCTCGCCATCTCGAAGAAGCTTCCATTTTCATCACGTTATCAAAGGGACCACCATGGGACCGGTGGGTCCGGGTACGCGTGGCGGCAAGCGCCGAAAGAGTTGATAACGGAGCCGACTGCTTCTCCGAGGAAGCCCGAGAGGACGGAGAGGTCCGAACGGGGAAGGTCGGATCCACGGCTGATTACATAACTAGCACCTTTTGGCATCCCGTCCCTTGCAGCTCGGCCGATCTCGGCGATGGCAACTTTGATATCAAATACATTATGTCTTGGACCTCGAAAGAGTCAAAAGCCATCCCCTTCGATGGCGTCTCTCACTCTCTCCCTTAAATGACTCACACTTCTTTTGATGTTCGCAAAGCCAGGCTATTGCTCCCTTCCCGTCTCGATTTTCGCTTCTTTGAATATGTCAGCAACAACGGAAGCCATTGCGAGATCGGACGCCAAACGCCACCAACACTTCGGATGGCGGAAGCACCGTGATGAATGCCTTTCAATGTACTTAATCAGCCACCTGCAGCAACATATGCCAAAGCCGCTGGTCACGGCGGAAAAAATGGGGAACCTCTGATACAGGCAGTCATCCTCAAATGGATTTTGAGATCTGAGATATTCATGGCTCAAGACCTATAACTCATACACATTACCCAGGTGGAGGGTACAGAGCTAAACTGGAAACCGACAGCCAGCTCCGCATCTTACTACCACCAGTCTACCACCAAACAACTCGGACACCAACCAGGACACGCATTCCCACCAACCCGCGAAAACCGAGCGACGCCAACCGAGCGCACGAACTGCTGCGCTGAACCATCCAACGAAACCGCCACCGACATACCCAGCTGGTTTCATACCATGATTATGATACACGTTTAATGAGCTGCACCCCCGCGCGTGCTCTCTAGTCAAAGCTCGCGGGTCCCTGAGCATTCGGGTCCGGGTCCATGTGCAGTTCGTAGTAGTTGTAGAAGCGTTTCTCGGCTTTGAGGCGCGTCGCTTCGTCTAGCTCGGGGATGCCGCTGCTTTCCTTGTTTTGCTTGGCCTTTGTAATGAGAGAAATGGACTGCGGACTGCAGTCGCCGTTAGCATGCTATTACGCGTCGCCATATTCACAAAGCCATGGTCGCAAGCAACTTACCCAAACAACTCCCGGTCGACAAGCAAAAACTCCTTCATGGCTTGTTTCCCTCCACGCTGCTGCAGATAGTTGAGGTAGACTTGGCCCAACTCCTGCTTCACGTGTGGCGAAAGGCGGCTCTTGGCACGCATCTCGGTAAAGACGGTCTTGACCCGCTCAGCATGCTGGTTCTCCAACTCAATGTTGGTCGGCTGCTCGAGCTCAAACTCAAGCCACTTTTGCCAAAAGTGGCGGCTGTCGGCGTACCACTCCACGTTCTTGGCGAAGGCAGTACGAGCCTCATCGACTGAACCCTTGACTTTCCACAATAGGAACGCCCATTCGGTCACGAGCGCGGCCTTGGTGAATATATCCACAACCGGAGAGTCGATCTGCGCCTTGTACACCTCGATTGCGGCATCGAGGCCACTCTGGCGTCGCTGGAGGTTGGCCCACGAAACAATTGCCTCAACACAGTCCGGCAACTTCATAAGAATAGCAGCATGGATGTCTCGAGCAACATCGACACGGCCACACATTTCTTCGAAATAGGCAAACTGCAGACGAATGCCCGGTCGGCTGATGGGCACGAACAAAGTAGATGCGCGCAAGTAGATGTTGCGCACCTCTTCCTCTTTGCCCTCTTGTGCCGCCATCCATCGAGCATATCGGAACCAAAATTCGTCGTAGAGAGCGCAGGTTACGAGACACCTCTCGTACAGGAAGACTATGCGCTGATAATTGCCCTCCGACTCCTCAAAGTCGAGGTACTTGCGCCAATTGATTAGCTGGTGATGCTCCAGCTCTGTGACATGGAAATATGGCCGCTTAATCTCGGCCTCGTACGTCCACCGCTTGTTGGTTTCGGTCTGGGTGTTTTGGAATGTCAGGTAGAAGAATGCATCAATCTTCGCCCGAATATCTCGCTCAATTTCGAGTTCCGTCTTCTGCATGGCGAATTGGGCGGCCTCGGCTTCAACTTCGGCACGGTAGCGGGCTAATGCGTGGGCTGGGACGAGCTCGATGAGCGGACGCGTGTGCGCAAGCTGCCGGAATCGCTCAAAGTAGCGGGCATACTGATGCATTGGAATATGGATGATGCGATTGAGAATGGCAAAGATCTTATCGTGGGCTTCCTGTCGCGTCTCATACTCGAGATACTTGTCCCAGAACGGATGAGAGAGGAAATCCAGGCCGATATGGGAAGCGGCTCGCTCGAACAACCTGGGGGAAAGGTCAGCAGGGAGCAAGCGGAAACGGGGTGGGGTGGGGTGGATTGGGAAGGGAGTGTAAATACAAGAGGGGACTTGGTGTAAGCGATGCGTTCCATCCAGAGCAACCAAACTACATCTCCGGGGAACGATGGAAGGCCAGAGCGAACGAAATGTGATCTGCCGAGCACAGCGGGGCCTGGCTAGATATTGTGAGAGAAGTGTCCCAGCAAAGGGTGGCGGCTGCCTCTGGTGTCTCTCACCATGTCCCATATTGTCGTACGTTTAAAGTGCTTCACTCGGGTCGGCAGGCGGCCAGAAGCGGCCTCGCAGAATTGCTGCGGGTGAAGATGTTATGGGTAAGGGAATGAAAGTGCCGGTTCACACTTACTCTCTCACAAGGTGGGGAGTGTGAGTGGTCTCCATTTTGAAAGAACAGTACTCGGTCCACAGATCAACCGAGTTGGTGATGCTGGCGCAGCCCCTCTCGTATACCTTACAGGTCTGTTAGCCATTGTGCGGATGAAACTGGTGGCAGGCGAGCAAGCATACCATCTCAGCGGATTCGGGGCCGGATATGTTGAACTCGAGATCGGCATACTTCTTCCAGTAACCGAAAAGCAGCGGAAATTTCAAGAGAAAGCGATCGTACGAATCGCGGAGTGTCGCCAAAGCCTGAGGGCTTGAGTTGCGATTGAGTCCACCCTCGAGGCTTTCGCAAGTCCGGACAAGTTTCTCCCAGTTCTCGAAATTATCGGGATCGGTTTCCTGCGCAAGAGGCATGATGCACTGGTAAGTAATGCGGTCTAGTGCGCGCATAGGACTCGCAGTCACAGCGCATGCCATTGTGAAGGGTTCTCAACTCACGAGTTCAGCATTGAGCCGCTTTATCTCGGCGTTCTCCTCCTCGGTGCCTCCATAGTTAGTGAAGTCACCCATGGTTGCGGATGTAAGGCCGGCGAGGCTGGGCTTGTGCTTCGTAAAGGGAAAAAAGATAATCAACGCAGAGAACGCGCAGTGTCGAGGACAGTGACAAACTATGCACGGTGCATGGATGGCCGATATTAATAAGTAGGTATCGCACTTCCTCGATGATATTTTCTCGGCGGGGATGCCCTGCGACGATGCTCGGTGATGCGGCTGGAGGAAGGGGAATGAAGAGGCTGGAGGTGACGGAATCCAGAGGAAGTTCCAAAAATGCGGCTAGTACGCGAGTCCCAGAGACCCAGGCCCATCTGTCTCTGGCTAAAAGCGGCTAGCGGAAGAAGGTGGGTCCCAACTCCCGATTAGATAAGCTCAAGTGGGACATTTAACGAAACCAGATTTTTGAACAGCTTTCTCGTTCTCTTCTCTTTTCCTCAGGCTAGTGATGATTGTATCAATAACAAACAATGATAGGAAGAGGCTGATTTCTCCGGATTCGGAGAGCATGATCTCAAACATTGATATTCAAATCTGAAGCCGCACTTGAAGGATGGGTATAATAATTCTTCTGGCATTGTTTTTCAGTCTCGGTCCTTGCTTTGCACCTCTGGCTCCTTGGAGTCTTCTTCCCCCTGAGCCCCTGTATTCCTATATATATAGCCGGAACCTTGTCTCTCAACACTACTCAGTCTGTTCGATCTTGCTGGAATACGCTACATTGATGGCTAGGACGGCCTTTGGGACCTGGGATTGGGAAATGGGAGTGCGATACCATGCTCCTTGCATCTGTTGCTGCCAAGTAAGGGGAGCGGCCACAGATATTTAAAAGGGGCTGGTTTCTCGATTGCGCAGAGATCAAGCTTACACATACGTTACTGAGAGTCATAGAAAGGAAGAGCGAAGAGCAGATGAAGACAGAGGATGGGAGTCCTTTAAGCAATGACACAACGATTGCATTCGCTAACTACCGGTTCCTAACACCCGGTGGATAACGAGGCTGAACCAAAAGGAAAGAAGAGTCTGGAGCAGATGGTAACGTTTCAGTTGCCTGCTCGTCAGGGGCTTCATAATCGCCATCTGCCCCTCTATTCGTAGATACAGTGCATTCCCGATTCCAAGATCTTGAAATGCCGGGTACTCGTAACCAACGCCTCCCCCGCATTGATTCCTGCTGTATTGCGCAGTAACGTACCGTACATACAGTACAGTGTCTCGAGACAGTCACTGAACAATTAAGCCGGGGTAGCGCTCCAGAAGCCTAGCCCCACACACTGACACTCAAGGGGCTGAGAATCCAACAAGAGTGACCACTAGTTATAAGCACGGCTGAAGAACCTGCCCAACCGGCAGCCAACCGGGAAGTCAGGCTGCGCACCTTTCTCCTACCTATGCCTTAAGCAAATGCCCGTCACCTCAGCTCAGCCTCATCCAAGATTCGAGCACATGCCCATCGACTATCCCCGCTCCCAGGTCGGCATACAATTGTCCCAGACTCGTCGTCTGCGAGGGCCAGCCATGAGCTCTCCGGCAAGCAGTGCTGCTCCTAGCTGTCTGCAACACGCCGCTCCCCCCTCCCTTGACTAGGCTGGAGCCATGGACTACAACTACAATCCCCCATCGTCGACCTTGTGGCTTGGACAACCGCCGTCCCCCGAGAAGTCGAGCCAAATCCTCATCCGCGAATATCCCCACCGAGCGATTGCAATTGCGTCAAATTCGCATGCTCTGATATTGCGGCACAGTAGCGCGGCAGGCGAGCCCATCGCCAACGGCTCATTCGCTCCTACCTCATCAGCGCGTACACGCCCGGCCGCCTCCGACAATGCGACGCCCAAGTGCATGGTTGAGTTCTCCTCGATATCCAATGACTTGCTTGCGGACTACCGCCCGCTCACGCCGCGGCCGATCTACGGGACCTTGGGCCTTATATCTATCGGCCGTGATGTTTTCTTGTGTGTGATCACTCAGGCTTCACGAGTTGCGACACTCCGACCGGGAGAGACCGTGGAGAAAATAGAGGCGGTGCAATTCTTCTGTCTGAACTCGGCCGAGTATGACGACATCGTTGTTGATCCCTACGATCTCGAAACGGATGCGGCGTCAGTCTATGGCCAGGGCATTGGGAGGAGAGATGTTCCAGTGGAACATCCTTGCCAAGAGTTGCAGAAGTTGCTCGGGAATGGGACATTCTACTATAGTACCGACTTCGATGTTACGAACCGCATGCAGGACAGGTAAGGCGGGGGTCCGTTACAGTTTGTTCTACATTGAGTGCTGACCAGATCACAGGCCTGCTGATGCTGCAGAGTTTGATATAGATAATTTTGACGATTCTTTCCTCTGGAACTCCTACATGATCCGCCCACTCGTCCAGTTCCGGTCTCGCCTGCAACAGCAGGAGCGGGGTGCGCTGGACGCCTCGAGGATATTGACTTCTGCAATTCGCGGGTTCTGCGGGAGCTTGGCGATACCGCGCACATCAGCACCTTTGAGCTCTGCCAAAACAGGACTCCCCTCGTACTTGGCGGTCATTTCCCGCTTGTCATGCAGAAGAGCTGGCACGAGATTTAACTCGCGGGGCATTGACGACGATGGCAACGTGGCGAATTTTGTCGAGACCGAGACGACATACTGGAGCCCATCAGGGGTGGTTTTCTCTTATGCCCAAGTCCGAGGCTCTGTGCCTGTCTTCTGGGAACAGACTGCTGGCCTGCTACCCAATCAGCAAAAAATCACAATAACGCGGTCTGCTGAGGGGACGCAGCCAGCATTCGATAAACACTTCTCTGAATTGGAACAAGCATACGGCGCAGTGCACGTCATCAACTTGCTCAGCGCTACAAAACCTGGGGAATATGAGCTTACCAATCTCTATCGAATAGGGATTCAGCATTGCCCTTTGAGTCGCTCAGGGGGAAAGCATTCTCGAGATCATGCGTTGCTGAGGGACACGGAATATGATTTCCACGCGGAGACGAAGGGGCCCCAAGGCTATGTGGCAGCTAACGAGATTCGTCGGTACATCGAAAGCTCGGCCGACGGATTTGCATACTACCTTGCCCAAGAGTCAGATGACGCAGGCACATCGAATGACAGTTCGGATGCTCATGCGCAGCGGCGCTATGTTGTGGTGTTACAGCAAGAGGGTGTCTTCCGGACAAACTGCCTCGACTGCCTGGATAGGACGAACCTAATTCAGACAATCATCTCACAGATGGCCGTTGAAGCCTTCCTCGGCCACAGAGGAGAGAGGGCAGCCTCTGACTTCTGGTCGAGGCATGCGAACCTATGGGCTGACAATGGCGATTCTCTGTCTAAAATCTATGCCGGTACCGGCGCCTTGAAGACGTCCTTCACACGCACCGGCAAGATGTCCCTTGCTGGAGCCATTGCCGACGTGCGCAAGTCGGCTACTAGGCTATACTATAACAATTTCGCAGACAAGGCGCGGCAGATCACCATTGATACCCTCCTTGGAAGGCTAGTTGGTCAAATGCCGGTGGTTCTCTTTGACCCTATCAGCGATTATGTTGCTAGCGAGCTGCAGCGGCGGAGCAACGAGTTCTCCGCAAACGAAAAGATTCATATGTAAGTCCAACCTTGATTGAGTATACACAAGGTAATGCTGACACCCAACAGCTTTGTCGGGACGTTTAATCTCAATGGAAGGACCAACGGCATTGACGAAGATTTGTCAGCCTGGCTCTGCCCCCCTGAGTTGGGGTCACTGCAGCCGGAGATCATTGCCATCGGATTCCAGGAAATTGTAGAGCTTAACCCGCAACAGATCATGAACAGCGACCCCACAAGGAAACAGATGTGGGAACGTGCAATCAAGAAGACTTTAGACAGGCACTACAGCAGAGCAGGGGATGACAGGTATGTTTTGTTGCGAAGCGGTCAGCTCGTTGGCGCTGCGCTGTGCATCTTTGTCAAGGCATCCGTTCTGCACAACATCAAGAATGTCGAAGGCAGTGTAAAGAAGACTGGGCTGTCGGGCATGGCCGGCAACAAAGGGGCCGTTGCGATAAGGCTTGATTACGCCAACACCCCTATTTGCTTCGTTACCGCACACCTAGCTGCAGGATTCGCCAACTACGATGAGAGGAACAGAGACTATGCCACTATTGACCAGGGGCTCTGGTTTCAGAGGAATAGAAGAATAGTCGACCATGGTATGACACACCCACATATAATTAATGCATTGACTGGGCTGACAGCTGTCTAGACTCGGTCATCTGGTTTGGCGACTTCAACTACCGGATTGGGCTGGGCCTGGAGACGGCCAAAGAGCTTGTGAAGCGACGCGATCTCGAGCGGCTGTTTGAGAACGATCAGCTAAATTTACAGATGGTGGCCGGTTTAGCATTCAGGTTCTATTCTGAGGCACGAGTCACGTTCATGCCAACATACAAGTTTGACATTGGCACCGACGAATATGACAGCTCGTACGTCGTCACCCTAGAGTAATGCAGGCATAACCTAACAGGAATATAGTGAGAAGGCACGGATACCAGCCTGGACAGACCGCATCCTTCGAAAAGGTGCAAACCTCCGCCAACTAGCCTACAACTCGGCGCCACTAAGGTTCTCGGATCATAGACCAGTTTACGGTATCTTCGAGTGCACTGTCAGTATCGTGAACGAGAAGCTTCGAGACAAGATTAGCCGGGAGATCTATGAGCGGCGCAAATCCGAGGTTGGCACGGATACGGCCAATCTAGCGACGGATGAGTCGGAAGATGAGGACCTGATAGGCTACGACGCGATCGAGCCGGGGCTTCCACCAGCCAGCTCTGATCGCCAGAAATGGTGGCTAGAGAATGGCAAGATGGCTCGATCCTCCATCAGCCCTCCCAAACCGGATAATCCAGCGTCCCAAACCATTCTGAACCCGAAGCGGCCCGCCAACCCCCACGCGCCGACTGACGAGCCAGACTGGGTAAATGTTCCGAGATCCGAATCTCGCCTTTCATCGTTTTCCAGCATGTCCACGTCACCTTATGAGCACGTCAACCATTCCATGCTGCTTTCGTCTTCAGCGTCGAGCACGGCGCCTAGAAAGCTCCCACCTCCCTATGATCCATCAGCCCTCCCTGCTAAGGTGGGCAGGCTGCATATCAGCGAAGACCAGAGAGGCTTACAGTCTGAGGGAGCACCACCTCCTCCTCCCCCGCGGAGACAGACTAGCATGGGCCCAGGCCGGGCGGCTGATGCCGTCCCGCCCCCGACCTCGGTCCAACAGAAGCGGAAGCCGGTGGACAAGATGTCACCCGTCCCTCCACTTGGTCCGAAACCTGTTGGGCCTCAACCACAGCCGGAAAAGCACAAGGCCCCGCCGCCTGTAGCAAAAAAGCCGGCTCATCTAACATCTCCAACCTCGCCAGCGAACAGCAGCTCGGCGAGTCTCGTATCAGAGGCGACAGTCGTACAGAGCTTGGAAGCACCCCCGCCAAGCTTACCACGGCGCTCGACATCTAATGGCTATGGGTTGTCATCTAAACTCGGGAGCAGTCGTTCTTCGTTGGCCACGGATACCGGGAGCGTAAAGGACGAACCAATGCCCCCGCTACAGCCTCCACGACGAACAAACACCAGCACGGGCGGGATCTCGCAAAGCCGGATGATGGCCGCTGGGGGTTTACCTCTCGTGGGGCTAGGGTCGCAAGAACAAAAACCACAGCCGCCTTCTCGAAAACCTGTCGCGGCAGCTGCGTCTATGGCAAAGAAGCAGGCGCCGCCTCCTCCCGGCCTGCGCAGGACGCCAGCAGTTGATCTCCTTGCGGATGATGGAGCGACTGAATTGGGCGGATGGGAGGCTTTGCGGCCTTCATGAAGGGCGGGTGCTCAAATTGATTTATCTCTTTATCGGCGTTTGGAGGACAGAGAAGATCTTTCAACGGGCTACAACAGTATAGATAGGGTTGGCAAAATCTAGAACCGGGACTTACTGTGGTAGGAAGGAGGGTGCTGAGGTGTCGGGAAAAGTCATGAATTGCTAGACAATGGATTATCGGGCTCCTAAATAGGCCGGCAGCGGGCTGAACATTGGCTACTGTACCATGGAGACGGTAGATAGCGGTAGATGAGCGGGTGAAATCGAGAAGTCTTGGACTACACCAGCGGTATTATAGTGTACCTAGTACTCCATACTGGTGCCTTGCATGTGGTTGTGCGGTCACCCAGCTGGTGCATTTGCATAAGCCATCAGGGCACAGCTCGGCAGGTCTTCCCGCGCCCATAGCCCGGCGGTTTGAGCGTCCTGCATCTCTAGATACGTAAAGTAATGGGTCAAAAGTATCTGTGGGTTCGCCCCACCACCAATTTAAACACCCCAACTTACACAGCCATATCTTCGTCAATTCGAGGCCAATTTGCCCAGGAATACATTCATTTTGAAGCTATTTAACAGGCCTTCAATACTTAGTATACTAACCCTTCGCCTTATACACTACAGCCAGTTGCCTAGGCATCGAATCAATTAGCCTATTAATAAGCTCCTAGAGCACCCTCTCCTATATAACCCTTAGGGTATCCTCTACTTTAGCTATATTCTCTACATTCCTTTTAAGTAAGTATAGCCTAGGGAAGTCCTTATATAGTATCTCCTTCATATTCTTTTTATATACTCAATGGAGTTGAGACCTGGATTCTATAGTTTTCGAGTCACTCTTCTATCTTCCTAGCAATATAGATCCTAGTATTATCTTATAAAAAGAACCTACTAGGCTTGTAGTATAGTACCAGGCCTTCCTCTAGTGCTTATAAATAACTATTAGTAGTATACTTATTGCTTTTAAATTCAAGGTCTGTCACGAACAGACCTTACTGGTGGCCAGGCATGGTCACAGCCGCAGCGCGGGGAGCCGGGGCAGCCAATCGCTCAACTGACCAATCAGAATGGATCACTAAGAAGCCAACATAAAGGATCACTGGGATCACGAAGTGAGCCAGGTGAGCCAGCACAAAGATCACTAGGAGCAAGGAGTGATCCTCGAAGACAATTATTAGTATATTAGATAGCTAGCTATTCCCTTGGAAGACCTGCCAGAGGTTCTCCAGTAAGCAATGCGAGCAGTTGTCTTTACTACTGTGTGAACACTTGCTTGTGCACTTGTTGTAGACCCTTTAGCTCTACCAAACCTCACCCCGTCTAAGTCAACCTTCAGTCTGAGGAGTCTCTTTCAGTGGTAGGGGGCCGAGATTCGTCACAAGGTCCTAGGTTATAATAACTAGTAAGGACCTCCCTCCTTTTTAGATAGCCCCCTATACTATAATAGTAATCTCTAACTTAATATAGGCCTATATATTAATAATATCTTTGTTAAGGCTGAGGCCCACGGCATGGAATTTAACGGGGCCAAGTCAGAGTTAATCCACTTCAACAAAGGCCGGAATCACTGGCCTAACCCACTTCAGCTGGCTAGGCCAGGCCCGGGCCTTGACCCTGACGACCGCTATATAGTGGTCAAACCGGTGGCCTTTGCTAGATTTCTTGGTGTGTGGCTTGATTGGAGGCTTAACTGGAGAGCCCACGGGTCCAAGGTAGCCAGTAAGCTCAAGACCCAGGATTTCGCCCTGTCGAGGATTGCGGCCAAGACTTGGGGCCCTAGTCTTCTTCGGGCCCGAGAGGTATATACCAAGTGTATTCGGAGTGCTATAGCCTTCGGTGCCACCAACTACCACAAGCCTACCCCACTGGGGGCCCCGGCCCGAGGCCTGGCCCAGGACTTAGCTAAGGCCCAAAATCGGAACCTTCGGATAGTAGTGGGGGCCTACAGGGCCACCCCTATCCGGAACCTCGAAACCGAAGCTTGGGTCCCGCCTCTGGACCTATACCTCAATAAGAGGCTTGCCGACTTCGAAGACCGACTTGACCGCCCTACCCTCCAGTCCGGCCAGGGCCCTGGGGCCCCACGCAGGCCACCTCGGTGTGACGAATCTCGGTCCCCTAACCACTGAGAAGGACTTCTCTGAGACTGAAGGTCTGACTTAACGACGGGGTGAGGTTCGGTAGAGCCAAAGGGTCTACAACAATTGACACAAGCAAGTGTTCACAC